GGCACTCCTGCAGAGAAAAACCTGAAGGAAAAACACTTCCAGACTGGATGGAGTGTCAGCTGAGTGGAGGGAGAAGAAGAGAAGGAGGAGAAGGAGGAGGAGGAGGAGGACTGGATCCAGCGACTGCTATTCCTATTCCTCTAATCCTCTTAGGCTATGCCCACCGCTCCACACCCAAATCACCACAGCTTTCTCCTTAACACAAACCAAATACACAAATACCCTGAAGAGCTTCAGGAAATGCTTCCCTTTCTCTTCTACCCCCTCCTGGTTTTGTTCTCTTTCTCTCCTCCTTCCCGTTTATAATTTGTCAGGTTTAATTCAATCACTGCGATTTATGGCTCTAGTGTTCAATTGATTTTTTTCAAATTGAAATTGAAATTAAGCATTTCGATTTAAAGTGCACCTTTCCCTCCATTATTTGCACTAGAAACAGCTCTGTCCTAATTTCCTTTGTGGTATCATGTTAAGTGGCTGCGTGCTGCGACAGACTTCACTTCAGGTTCTTTACCATCTGCCGTGTGGTCGTGTGGACCATGTCATTGTACACTGGTTTTCAGAATGGGGGATATGAGGATGTTCTCATATTTAGACAGCGCTGCAGCTCTGCAGATTATTTCTACATTATTTTACAAATAATCTCACATGCTGCACACAGCTCTTTTTGAGCTTGAACAGTGTACGGGTGGGGCTTTTATTTTTGGAGTGACGCTATGAACAGATGATGTAAAACATAATGAATATATTCAAGCAACAAAGATCCAAAGCTTCATGTTGCCTCAAATTCCCAAAAAAAAAAAGAAAGAAGGAAAGAAAAATCTCATTCACACCTTTAGTGGTGGTGATTTAGAATTTCTTTGTGCAGGTTTTGAGATCGCCTCCAGCGACATCTCTCTCCACAGGCGATGCTCCCAGGATGATCCACAGACCTCACTGTGGACAGTCTCCAGGGACCGTTTCTTATGTAGACAAGAGATTCTGAAAATTGGAAGTGAAAATGTTCTCCCCTTAATTTGAATATTGAATAATTTAAATTGATCTTTAAAGGATATATTATTTGTAAGTCATTTAAATGTATTCGCTCTTAGTTTTAATCAATATTTTTATCACAGTGTGTAATGTAAATGTTATACCGCACAGAATAATCTGCAAATCTGCAGAACAGAACGTGTGTCTGATTTCAATTACATTGATACTATGATGACAGAGTTGCAGCTTTAGATAACAAAAGAGCGGATGTAAAGCTGCATACATCTCTTTGACTTATGCAATGTAACATTTTTTTTTAATTCTAAAAGTAACAAGTGACTCTGTAGTCCTCCTTAACGTTTTAGTATGTTTTAACCTCTTTGAGTTCATTGGTTCTATGGCTGCATGAAGCCAGTTTGTGTGACAGTAAAGCTCATCAGTCTGGTGTCTCGACAACAGTTTGTGCCAAATCAGTAACTCAGAAGAAAATCGGAAACTGGAAAATGAAACGATCACTGAGGACGCAAACTAATTTAAGTTGATTTATAAAAAGAATAACTCTTTAGTTAACTTTGCTTTGACCAACTTCATTTACCTTAGCTGTGTTCTCTCTAACTTTCAGGTATACCAACTTTCATTATTATTAATTATCATGTTAACTCTTAAACTAACAAAATAACTAAAATGAGATTTAATAAATCAAAATGATCTTAACACAAACGTAGAGATTGCAGTTGCCCCGTTATGGCTGGCTGCAGTATCGGTCATGAATCATGTCTCCTCACTGTTAGTGGATGAGACATGAGTTTAACTACAACGTCAAGTACATTTTTCCTAAATATGGTGTCTGTCCTTTTAGGTAGTTGTTATCACACTGATTTGTGTTTAAGTGTTCATTCCATTAAGTTTGTTTTTAATTAGTATTTGATATTATAAGCGTCATGATTGACAGCTGAGACTGACTCTCAACAGGCCACGTGGATGGGACTTAGCTTCACCCCTGATAACCATTGCATAGACTCTGGCTTCAAATGACATCACCGGCACAAGATGGCAGCTTCCACATCTGGGATATTTTGGCTTAATTTCTGTGCACAGTGGAGACATGGTGGCCATGTTTACATAAAGTCTTCACACTAAGATTATCACATCGTGTCATATTTTCATTCTTTACAAATTCAACTTTTATGGTAAAGTGTATCACTCTATGTGCACTTTCATCACTTGTGTTTTTCTGAGCTCATCCCTCTTAGTGGCTGATACTTGACAAAAGACAGTATCAGTAGCTGTTGCGTATCAGTGCTGTTGTCAGTGGGCTCGGTCCCAGTGGACAGACCAATCAGTGGAGCTGTTTTCTTTAGACTTTCCCCTCATTCAGCCTGCAGCCTCCAGCAGGGAGTGTGTGCTTTCCTGTTTGACCCCTCTGGCAGGTTCAGCCAGAGGCTAAGGGTTCAGCCACCGTGGCAGCCACACATTTTTCTCTGCCTGCTCTTAAGCCAGAACCCGCCGTGCGCGCTTGTCTGTCACCAGCCTTTATTCCTATAATGGAGCTTTCTGTGTATGTTAACATGCATCGAAGTCGACTCAAAGTTTAATCATGCAGAAAATGGAAAAAGGCTCCCTGCACCTGAAAGGGCCCATGCACCAATATTCAGGTACTCTGTGACATCCCCCCGTCCCAACACACACACACAGACACACACTCCGGGGTATAATACATCTATGTTTATGTGCCCCATCTGTTTGCATGTGGTCACACTGCCTTCCAGATTCAGCCATGAGTTTCAAATCGGCACAGAGTTGAATTGTTGGCGCTGCGTCTCCTCTGTGTATCACAAATGCTACAGAGGCATTTCAGTGGCAAAATCTTTTTTTTTCATGTAGATATATGTGTTGTACATAACATGGGGAAGGCAAATATACAGTTGTTGTGCTCCAGTAGTCATACATCCCCATCAGCATCATCTAATGTGCCTTGTTTCATTCATGTTTGATGTGGGAGGTTATGTGATATTGCTTTTCTTTGTAGAAAAGGGAGAAGTGGATGAGTGGAGCTTGTGGGGAAAAGGAGCCACTTTTATTCTTTTCAAGCGACCGTAACCACGGTGAACTGTGAACTGAGTGATTGTGAAATGAGATAATGATAACTTGCTGCAGTTAAACACAGCAGGGACCTGCAAAAGAAGAGGAGGTCACTTGTTTTTAATATGACAAGTTGTACAATCAGCCTGGGCGACCAGAGGTTTATCAGAATTGCATTTGTATGCTACTGCGAACTAAGAGTAACCTTCTCAGTAAATGTTACATCCATCTGTCCATTCGCTTAGGAAATGTTGCCAGTCAATCTGTTGTGTTCTGTTGAACTATAGAGTTAATAGTTTTAGATGTATTCACAAGTGTACTGCTTTGATGGAGATATCATAAGTGAGGAGTTGCTATTGGTTCTGCTGCTCATGTATAACTAGCAATTATTGGGCCTTGGAGACCTGGTACTGTATGACCAGGGTTATATCCCCCCATGCCCTTGTCCGTCAATTGAGCTAACCAGCTATTCTGGAGCTGATGCTAAGTATGTTGCTAGCTCTCCACTTAAGGCTGAACGTGAGATACGAGTGGTGCCCTCTGTCCGTACTCCACTTCCATTTTGTCCATATTTGTCAAAAGAACTAATGAATACAGACAAAACGGATGGAATGGAGCAGTACCACCCAAACTAATGAGGGGCAGTGTAACCAAAAGCAAGATGACCCTCGGCCAATTTCAACAATGTGGCCACATTTCCACTATCTAAAGAGGTACATTATCATAACCTCCACCAAGTTGGGTGTATTGCTTTACAACCACACCGAAGTAAAGTATTCATTGTTTTGTAAATGAGCATTTACACAACACATTCTAATTGTCTGAACCTTTCTTCAGCAAACAGACCTTTAAATTAAGGTCTTGACCTTTAAATGTAAAGTGCCTTGAGATAATGTAAATTATGAATTGGCGCTATATAAATAAAATAAAATTGAATTGAAGTACTGAGGTTATTTTGTAAGTGAATGTACAGCAGCTTTATTAGAGGAGCCTGCATCACATTTCAGGCTTCAGCTTGTTGTAGCTAATTCCCAGTAAGGGTTCAAAGTTTGTAAACTGAATTAATATCATTGGGGCATAATCTCTATGTGTGCTTGCAATGGTTGAAAATTGTACTGTGCATTGATAATGAAAAAGCAAGTAAAGAAACACAAGAGGCTCCTGGATAACTTTGCATTCACACTCGATCAAAGACACATTCAAAACCTGAAAAAAGCAAAGCATCCTCAGTTCAGTATCTTGCCTAAGTACACTTCGACTGAAGAAGCAGGGGAATGAACCTTTGCTACTGTTCAGACTATAGTGCATATTTGAGGTGTATTTGTGACTTAACGTATGAATACATAATTCCATCCATTCCAGACGTGCAGACTTACACTGGTGACTGAGTCTGACATGCACATGGTGTATTTCTTAATGGGCAACTTTAGACCTTGAAAGAACAGGAGCTAAAGGCAGAAGTTGCATGACTGCAGGGCAGTCTACATGACCTGAACCCTACTGTAATATAATAGGACAACCTCATACGCAACCGCTGTGACCAAGACTGTTACCCAGACTCAGCAACACATCGAGGGTGATCACGGCTTCATTGCATCATGCTAAACTCGATTCCTCCAATGCTGACTGAACTGCTGATCATTTCCTTAAAAAAAGAGAGTAGCAAATGGTTCTCAGCACTCACTTCGCACAAATCGACCAGATTTTCGGAAGAGGGTTTTCCCATCTGACAAATAGAGAGATCAGAGCCAAGGCAGGAACAAATTGAACGGATAGACAAGAATTCTCTGGAAAGTCTAATTATTACAATCTGACCTCGACAACCAAGGGGATACAGTACACAGGAGAGAATTTTTTTTGGGCCACTTGCTGATCACCATCAAATACTTCTATTTCTAAGTGGATCGTGTATGTGCAGTGAGAGCAGCCGCTATTTCAGTTGCAGCCAGCAGGTTTGTCAGCGAGATATTTGCTAGACATCTGCCCCTCATGTCAGACAGGGGCTCAGGTTTCTAGAGTGAGTTGTTAGTGCATGTTATTTCAGTCTCATCACTACATACCACCCACAAACACCAACGTGGATGGAGTCAGATGCCCCTTCTAACTAAACTCTACATTAAACTCTAAGCTAAACCAAATACCCCTCTTTACAGGGTCCCTTTGTGTCAGTCAGCAGCTAAGGAATGTCAACCAATGATAGTATAATTAGATACTGTGACCTTGTGAACTTACAACCTTTTCACACTTGGGACATCTTCAATAAGTGCCTGTTCCTGATGCTTTGCACAATTACTAAAATACTCCCCAGTCCGACAACCAGACTGATGTCCCTGTTGGAGACAAGTAACAGGACATATTTCTGTTGGAAAGTGTGAAAAAGCCTGAATATTTGTTATTATCATTATATGCTGTGTGTGCCAACATATTTACCCCTCGTGTTGTCACTGAGGGCAGTCTGACAGTAGTCATGCCAAATATGTCATAACATTTTATTCTGTTTTGGGAAATGGAAATAAGTATACACATTATAGTTTGTTTCCTAACAGACAAAGTGAGAATTGAAATTTCAGCTTGTAAACAACATTTTGAGGCACGGCAGGAGTTTGCAGTAGTGTTTTCTTAATGTGTGTTGTTTCGATTAAATTAAAATATTCAGAACTTGTTATATAAAGCCTAGTTATATTTGTGCATAGATGCACCCCCTTGCTTTTCCTATTCGAGGGCTTTGGCTTAGAGCCGAGACCCCTGGCTTTTCTCCAGTATGGTGTCTCTCCATACATCTGCTTTACATGCAAGCTGCTTCTTACTACTCTCTGCCAACAGCAGAGGGGAAGCATTTGGTGCATTTGGAGCAATGAGATGACAAATGTCTATCTCTCTGTCCTCATCTATGAAACCAGGTTACACTGCAGTTGTGGAGGAAATAACATGGCTGACTTCTTTTGTTATGATGAACACCGCTTGAAATTCAGACCAGCAAACTTTTCTAAATCCTAACACAGCACCATTATGTCAACTTTATGCAAGTGTACTTACAGATTTCTGCAGAACTTTTAAGTATTTGATGCTGTCACTGTTTCATAACCAGTCGCAGTGACTTCTCCTTGGTGCCCAAACCTCTCCACAAACTCAGATAAGAGCGAGATTCGATAAATCATCTCATTTTAATTAACCTTGCAGGTCGTCTCACTTTCTCATCCCTGTTTACAGAGGTAACATTTATCCTCATACACTGTGCTGTATGGGCCACAGACTCGTTAAGTCTTCCCTCGAGTCACTGAAGTTACCCAATGTAAAGCTGCAAATTCAACATGTGCAAAAAGTCACACTGGGAAAATGCAGCGGATTATTAGATTACACCTGCAGGTAATTCCATTGAAGGACAAGGGTCCAGTAATTATAAGAGCTTGTCCCCCACCATCAGTAATTGAGTTTACTGTGATGAAGTATGGAACAATGTAATCTAATTAGCAGCGACTGCTCTCCATTTTCAAAGTAGATTGTGTTTTGTTCATGATGGCAGCACCTGCATCTCAGCATAGCTTCAAAGTCTGGTACGGTTTTGCTTCAACGTGCTCTGATCTTCGACTGTCTAGCATGCATGTTGAAGTATTATTAGTACTCTGTGTGTGTCTGAACACTAGAAATTACAAGTACACCTTCCACAAACACAAACACTGTTTCATTTATTCCTCAACTTCTTTAAATGAGACTGGTTTTAACCAAATAGAATATATTTTTGTCTGCATGCCTTTAACCTCTTCTTCCACATCTTTCCCAAAACGTTTTCTGGCTGAAAGACAATCATGCAAATCGATAATTCATGAAAGACAAATGCTATTTGTACCATTCACAGCATCTCAGTTTCGGGTATATTTACAAAATTAATTTCAACTTTAAGACAACAATTCATCCTGATGGGAAAACCAATTTCAAATATCAATGCAGTCAATACATTATCTGCTTGGATTCCCATCCATCCATCCCTTATCTATATCAATTGAACTTTTGAGAGTAATGTGACAGCTGACAATAGGGGAAGATGTGGGTTAAACCCTGGACAAAAGTGTTGACTTGACCCAACTGACTTATCAAACTGCTTCACAATGATGACAGGAATATTGTCAGGAGTGTAGCAGGAAACATATTTTGTCGTTTGTTGCTCACGGCACAGTCAACCAACTGCTCCAAACCAAACACTCACTGAGGCAAAAGTATTCAGGCCTCCAACACTTTGAGAAACAAATTCTCTTTTTGCGGCAAGGCAGTTTTTTATGTCATGTTTGCTTTGTATTTTTTCCAGTTTTTCCTGATGTCTAAATGAATCATTCACTAATTTGAAATCAAACGTCTTCATCTTCCTCTTCCTGCTTGCATTTCTTGCAGCCATTGAAACACAGAGCACCAGTTCTGAGGAGCTCGTCCCCAGCCCACCGTCCCCGCTGCCCCCTCCCAGAGTCTACAAGCCTTGCTTCGTCTGCCAGGACAAGTCCTCTGGATACCACTATGGAGTCAGCGCTTGTGAGGGCTGCAAGGTAGTACTCCTATACCTCTTCAGATGTAACGGCATGCTGAGTTTTCTCTGTGAGGCTCATTCAGAGTGTTTTTTATTGAACTGCCTCTTGAAAAAGCAGTCGAGTTAAATCTAAAGCTCTGGTTTCTTCGTACTTTTTTCATCCAAATTGTGGATTGCTTTCTGAGCTGGTAAACTGAAACTGATCTGATCATTAATATTTCACACTGTCTGAACATTCATCGTTTTTTTTATTTTGGAAAGTTTGAAAGTAAATTATTAACCCATTGAATAAAAATAATGTTGTAGACTTTTGTGAATATAGTCTGAAGACTATTGAAGACGAGTATAAAAACACATATCTCCACTTCATGTACCAGGACTCAGGAGTTGCTTTCGAAAGGCATCACTGCCCCTATTTCGGCCTTGTCTTTTGAAATTGGCTCAGTAGTCAGGACAGTTTCCCCACTGCAGGAATATCTTAAATGGCCTTTCTGTGTTGGGTTTTCATGTTCTTTCCATTCATGCGTATTTTCTTTTTGAAAGACAAGCCAGTTAGCAGAACTGATGACCAATAAACTGTCATTTCTGATGATAGCTTATTGTAGATACTTTATGACATTTCATGATATGGAAAAGCAAGTAAGTGGACCTGGAGTTCCTTACTGACTATATTTAAGATCAACAATGAAGCTTTATGCTTAACCTACACCTTAAAAGTGGTGTGGATGAAAATAATAATACATAATAGCCATAAAGATATACACTATATTGAGCAGTATGCTGAACTGGATCTGCTGACTGGAATTGGACCAAACAAAGAACCATTGTTCAATTGTAAAATGTCATTCTGCAAAACCTTTTAGAGAAATCAGGTTTATGTGTACTTTATATTCAAAAATAAGTTATTAATTTATATATTTGTATATAAATTCATTAATACCGAATGCATCTTTGAAATGACAGAAAACATACATGTAGTAACTCAATGGCAATGTTCAAAAATGAGTCATGCTATCAGCTGTGACAACTGCATGTGCAAGTCTTTAATATGGTGATTGAGAAAATTACTTAGTTGATTTGATAAACATGATCAAATCTAAAACTCAATAAATGAACAAGGAGAACGGTAACCTTAAAATGCACTAATACAGTACTAGTAGAACTGGCTGGGGAGGAGTTGATACACATCATGTCATCAAATATTAGGTCAACCATCAAAGACTGCGTGTGTTCAGCCACAGAAGACCTGTATGATTATAAGTGAAAGTCAATGTGGTTTTTCTCCGGCTGCACTGCTCCTTTAAGACATGACAGTGTCTCTGCTCAGTCTCAGTCTGCCATCCCCAAATGCTCCACTTTTAGAAATTCCCCCCAACATCTGCCCTGCCAGCATTTCTTCTGTCTTTCCTTGAACACTTTCAGCAGCTGTTGCTAGGCAACCGCTCACGCCCGTATGCACATACTGTATATATAAACAATATTGAGTAGACAAGTCAGAGAAGAGGCTGCTGACTATGGTTTTGAAAGCATTACTGGAGAATTGTGTTGGAACACTTTATATGTAAAACTGTGCCGAGCACTAAACAGTAAATATTGGCTCTATGTCGTCAATGGGAGCATTAATGGATTACATGAAGGTTTTTGTGAGAATACCACATGTACAGTAAACCTCGCAGACACAGTATAATATTTTTCTGGGCAATGTTTTTTCCCATGTAGCCATGCTGCGGTGTGATGTCCTCTCTCCTCCCCATCTCTGTAATTGCAGCAGTGGTATGCCAGGAATCCTTTGGAGATTTTGGCCCCAGAGGGAGGTGGTGATCAGTTCACTCACCACAGACTCTGGGTCAAACTAAGTTGTCTGTGGACTGCCATGCTGTTCATGTGCCAATATAAGCCTCATCATAAAGGCCTGTCATGACCTCTGACCTCTCTGGTGTGTGAGTAAGGGAAGTCCTCTTAATATAAAAACACTGGAGTGTATCTGTTCTGCTAAAAATAAACAGTGCAGTGTGTTCCCAGCAGCTTAGTTTATACAAATGAATAAAACAACATCACCACATGACCGTGGGTCTGAGCACATGGAGCACAGATTATGATTCTCTAATGACAGGTGGTGAATAAAGTGAAATCACAGTCTAAGTGCTGCTGAGATTATGAACAATGTGAGTTTCAATGGCCC